TTCTTTCTCTTCTTTCTTTTTTTCTTTTTTTTTTTTTTTGAGAAAGAGTTTCTCTGTAGCTTTGGAGCGTGTCCTGGAACTCGCTCTGTAGATCAGGCTGGCCTTGAAGTCAGAGAGATTGGCCTGCTTCTGCCTCCCCAGTGCTGGGATAAAAGGTGGTGGCACTGCCCAGCACAGTTGGAGGCTTTAACCTGAAACCAGAGCTATAAGAAAGGCAGGAGCTTAGATACTGATGGCAAGATAGGGATAAAGGGGAAATGTAGGTTGGAAGACTAGGGAAGGAAGCAGAAGTAAGGGGATCTCCATGTGGGCCCCATGTGGTCGCCCCCAGATCGCAGATCTGACCCAGAAGATCTATGACCTGCGTGGCAAGTTTAAGCGGCCCACCCTGCGAAGAGTAAGGATCTCTGCAGATGCCATGATGCAGGCTCTGCTGGGGACCCGGGCCAAGGAGTCCTTGGACCTGAGGGCCCACCTCAAGCAGGTGAAGAAGGAGGACATTGAGAAGGTGAGTGTGGGTGAGGGTGAGGAAGGCAGATGCTTGAGAGGGTCTGAGGAGCCACAACCACGGTAAAGTCCAGACAGAGAGCGTGGAGGTGCAGGGGGAGGGAGAGACTGGAGGTGTGTAGGGGAGACAGGAAGAACATGGGGGTGACTAGGGGGCGTGGAGGAGAATGGAGATTTATGGAAGTTGGTCAGATTGTCTAGAACCAGATTCTTGGACAGGTATTCAGCTCAGTGTAGAGTGGTCTAGCATGCTAGAGGGGAGATAGAGGGTATTTAGGGGATAGATACCAGGAAGAGTTCATAACCTCTGACCTTTCACCTCCAGGAAAACCGGGAGGTGGGAGACTGGCGCAAGAACATCGACGCGCTAAGTGGAATGGAGGGCCGCAAGAAAAAGTTTGAGGGCTGAGCCCACGGGCTCCCACCCTTCGCGCCGATGATGTCCCTGAGGAATAAACCTCTCTGAACTGGAAGTGACTGTGTGTGCCTGCTACCCTGCAGTTTAGACATGAGAAACGATAGGGGCAATAAGGGTTGGTGTCCCCCCAAACCATATGGGGGTGTGGTCACAGGCAAGCTTCGAATATGGGTTTCTAACATGGGGTAGTCTCCTCCGCAGGGGCACAGAACATGCTAAAACCAAAGGAGGATGTGCCAGTGGGCCCAGAGGTGACTCTGGGTGATGAGCACAGGCTGTTTTCCCAGAGGGCTCAGGTTTGATTTCCAACACCCACATAACAACTCAGAATTATCAGCAGTTCTAATTCCAGGGGATCTTATCCCTCTTCTGGCTTCTGTTCATGCAAACAAACTATCCATATGTATAAATTTTTTAATTATTTTTTTAAAGTGCCAAGAAAAGAACAATAGAAACACAGATACACTCACAGTGAGGCAGACATATGATGGAGACCCTGTGAGAGACAGACATGGAAAACGAAGCCAGGTGTGGTGGTGCACACCCTT